TCTTTTTAGCTCGTGCAGTTTGGTCCTCAAAGTTATCTGTTCTAACATTATTCTCTTTAGCAATTTAAACTTTTAAATCAATAAGTTTAATATGATATTAGTTATAAATGTCTTGAGTTCAAATCTTATAACCACTCATTTATTAAAATTATGCACGTATCTAGATTTCATGGAAAAATGAATCACATCTATACGCAAGGAAGTGTTTTTTTTGCCCTTTTTATTTCTATGTACTTTTGCGACGACTTATACTTAACGAATACAATCCATCTAGTTTTGAACAACTAGGGCAGTGATAGCAACCGAAGCAAGCCATTGAGCTACCCCAGGGGAAAATTTAGGATCGGATTAAAAACTATTCAAGTCGGGCTAATGTGTAAAAAAAAAAAGTTACGCATAAAAAATAAATGGGCTAGGAAATGGACCAGTCTACAGATTAGCCCAGTCCCACCTACATCCGCCCTTGAGCTACTCTATTTTCATCTCTATCTCTAGGCATAAAATAGCAAGATCTACGCCCTCTCTCTCTCTAAGAAAACTACAATATCATAGCTTAAAAGTGTGTTGAGAGCTAGCTTATTAGACGACTTCATACTATGAATAAGTCGAACAACATCGTGTTGAACCTATCAATTTTTAAACCGATCCCCTTAGGAAAAACAAGGCCTTCTCAAAGCTTCCACATATATCATTTTGATTAATGAATATAAAAGATATGAATATGACCCTTTGGTTCTTACAAGTCTATAATATTTGATTTATTTAAGTGAATTGTCATAGCTTTGGAATTCTGTTTCATAACTATTTTCAAATTCTAATTATAATGTTATTCTTGAAAGGCAAGAAAAATAACATAAAGTTTGTGAAATGAAAACATGCTCAATGTTGGTTGAGAAGCATTTGATTGGTTCTAACGAGCTTTTAAATCTATAAATTTATTTTTGGTTTAGTATTGTTTTCATTGTTGTTTAATTTTTGTTGTTATGTGTAGTAGGTTTTTTAATTTATTTCTAGTGATACTTTTTTATGTCATATATGTACTCTANNNNTTTTTTATGTCATATATGTACTCTAGTTGAAAGGTTTGTTGTTAGAGTTTTATCATTTTTGTTCTCGAACTTTTATTGTTTTTTTTCCTTTTAGTGAAACAATAAAATATTCTTATAGAGGTGAGTATTATTTATATATTTTTTAAAAATTATTATTCGTGACAAGGCTTTTTCATAAATTTCGTTTATGACTCCCAAATTGCCTGAGCCAGCTCTGACACCACTCGAATGAAAACTTTTGTAAATATTTCATATCCTCCTGTCGAGAATAATCACATCACCGCAGCTATACTTTTGTTTCACGCAACAAAAGTGGGGACGTCACGATATTTGTATTGGGATTGTAAGGAAGTGTCTTGAAGACAAAATATAAATATTATATGCGCATATTCCTAATCACTTAAATTTTTAGATAAATTATTTTGAGAAGTCAAACATACAACGATGAACATTTTGACTATGTCCAGATCTTGAAAACCTTTATATACACCATGTGCCGTGTATATATATTCAACTTTGAGTTTGGGAACCCCCACCTCACCTCACCCCATCCCACTCCACCTCACCCTCCTCCCTTTTTCATATCAATAATATTAAATGTACATTCTTTGATGTACATTGTTTTTGACATCCCTCTTATTTTCAAAAAAATTGTGGGCGATTTTTTTTTAAAAAATTATCCAATGATGTGTTGTCACATGACACAATGTAAACAATGATGTAAAAGATGATATTCATATAACATGATTGTTTTTGACATAGAATCTTCAG